CTCGATGGTCTTGACGAAAGTCGACTTGGGCTCGACTTCACTGCTGACACAAACCCCTGCATTGATGTGACACAGTCAATGACAGTAGAAGTCCTGCTGACATGCCTCATCAAGGGGGAACTGCTGCCTTCTGCTCGCCTTTGGATAACCACACGCCCAGCMGCAGCCAATCAGATCCCTCTTGACTTTGTCGACATTATGACAGAGGTGAGAGGGTTCACTGACCCACAGAAAGAGGAGTACTTTAGGAAAAGGTTCAGGGAAGAGGAGCAATGTGGCAGAATCATCTCCCACGTCAAAGCATCCCGGAGCCTCCACATCATGTGTCACATTCCACTCTTCTGCTGGATCACTGCGGCAGTTCTGGAGGACTTGTTGAAAACCAGTGTGGGAGGAGAGCTGCCCAAGACCCTGACGGAGTTGTACACAGGGTTCTTGATGTTTCAGATCAGACAGACAAAGGAAAAGTATGGCACAGAGCAGAGCATTGCACACATGCATTCACTTGCAAAACTGGCATTTCACCAGCTGGAAAACAGGAACCTCATCTTTTATGAAAAAGATCTCAAAGAGAGCGGCATTGATTTTGAAAAAGCCTCAGTTTACTCTGGGGTGTTCACACAGATGTTTAAAAAAGAGCAGTTGTGGAGGAAGGACAAGGATGGGGATAAGATGTTCAGCTTTGTGCATCTGAGTATTCAGGAGTTTTTGGCTGCAGTTTATGTGGTACAGTCGGTCATTAACAAGAAGAAAAATGTAATGGTGCAACAACAGCTCAAGTTCCAAAACATGCAGAAGCTTTTTAGCAAACCGTCCATTGCCTCAATCCAAAAACTGGCAGTTGACAAAGCTTTAGAGAGTCCAGATGGACACCTCGACTTRTTCCTCCGCTTCCTTCTGGGTCTCTTCACTGAGGCCAATCAGAATAACCTACAAGAGCTGCTGAAACACTCAATGAGTACTTCAGAGGCCATTCAGGAAACAGTGCAGTACATTAAGGAAAAGATCGGAGAGAATCCATCTCCAGAGAGGTGCATCAACCTGTTTCACTGTTTGAATGAACTGCATGATCATTCTTTAGTGGAGGAGATCCAACATTACCTGAGCTCAGGAAGACTCCCCAGTAAAAGTCTGTCTCCTGCTCAGTGGTCAGCTCTRGTCTTCATCCTTCAGTCATCAGAAGAAGACAGAGATGAGTTTGACCTCAGGAAGTACTCTGCTTTACAGGAAGGTCTCCTGAGGCTGCTGCCAGCGGTCAGGAACTCTGTTGTGTTCTTGTAGGTGTAATCATACACATTTTAATTCAATTMATTTCTCATTAAAGAGAGTGATTTTTCAACATTCCTTTATCAGTTAACCTGTAACCCTTCTTCAGGCTGAGTGG